AAAAAAAAAAAAAAAAACCTGATTTGATTTTGTTTGGGATTGTGTAGAATCCATAGGTATATTTGAGACTAACTAATGTCTCAACAAATACTGAGTTTTTCTACCCTGAACATGAAATGTCTTCATTTATTTAGTTCTTCTTTGATTTTGTTCATCAGAGCTTTAAGTACTCTCTATATTACTTTCAGACTCTGCTTTCAAAGAATCATCCTGTGAACCTCAAACTTACAGCCTCTAGACTTTATGTTGGCAAAGCTTCCCAAAGTTCAGGTTATTCAAGTCAAGCTCTGCCTTAAATGTTTGGTCATTTGAAGCTTCACTCAGATGGAAGTACCTAAGTTGGCCACAGGGACTACATCTCAGCAAGCTTCCAGCTGGAGAACTATAGTCTAGTTTTACCTTTTTACAGAGATACATATTTTCTTTAAAAAAAATGATTCTCTTTGATGCACTCCCACCCCAGTATAATTTGGTGTACTTACACTGCTCTCTTCTCAGATCCTTGCGAATCTTGCAATTCTATAACAATTCTAATTGTGTCATATCTTCCCTAGTCTTTCTCATGTACAAGTGGGTACATATCAGTTTCTGGGGTGATTGTCTATCTTTTTAGTAAACCCAATTGTTAGTGGCTCATTTGTAGTTTTCTTTAGAATTTAAAATGTCTATTTCCTTTTGCTTTGTTGTCACCTGAAATTGCTAAACAAGTGAAATTATTCGCTTCACACCTGTCATATATTTAAAACAGTAGCCCAGTGAATATAACATTGACTTTATCAGATAATTTTTAAATGCTTTAACATCTTAAAAATATAGAATAAAAACTGTGATATCAGGTTTTATCATTTTGGAGGTTTATGGAAGTCCTGACTACTGGAAATTTCTAGAACCTAAAATAAGTTCAGTTGTGGAAATGGTTATGTCAAGTATGCTTAAATGAGAGAGTTGAAAGCTAGGCAATTCTGATAAATAGATATTTGTTAGGAAAACATCTCTTTGGTGTCCATAATTTTTTATTATTTAAATTCTAAATCTACACATATCTGTTTCCTTTTATACATTTTACAAGAGTATATATTTGAAGTTGCATTTTGGTTCTCTCCACATTATTCTAAATCAACAGCCAGTATCTATTTGCCTTTCATGATGTGTGTAGCAATTTTTCCTTAAACTTCTAATTTAGAAAGAAACTGCTTTGAAATACAAGCAATAAAATATGACACAAGTTTGGCAAAGAGATTTAAAAAATATTTTTCCCTGGGAATTCAGTTCCATTCTGGAATTCCAGGTGACTGGAGTTTGAGAATATTCAGAAATATTACTTCTGGCCAAAGCATTGATTTCCTAATAGTTTAGTAAGTAAAGAGCAACAGCAAAGCTTTTCTAAGTGGCTTTGCAAAGCAGCCAGTGTTTAAACACAAGAACAAAATTACATAAGAGATCAGGCACTCCATGATGACTGGCAGCTCTTAAACTGGTGTGTGTGTGTGCGTGCGCATGTGCATGTGTGTGTGTGTGTGTGTAAATGTGAGGTACTTTTTGTGTATCTCAGAGGCAATTAAGAGACCACTACAGAGGAGTGAGGTTCTGCCATTACAGAGGCAGTGCATGTGGAGACTTCAGTCATTCCACTATTCTGAAGTTTCCCTCATCTAACGTACAATAAACTCCCATGTGTAATTGCAAATACCCACTTTGTTTCAACAGGAAAGAGCATACATTCATGTTGTTCAGACACAGGAAATAGTGTATTTGTTTAGTTCCTACTTGCAGTGATGCTTAGTCTCTGAATTAACAATACAGGTGTATCCTTCTAGTTGTAATTGTATTGATAAACACTCCACGTTGTGATTTTCGCTATCCTGAAACTTAGGACCTAGGTGATAATTTGATCATAATGATAATTTTAACAAAGCAATATACTATGTATTTAATATGGAAGAATACAGAAATATTGGGGAAAAAACTACCACAATTTAAAAATTAGATAAACAGGAAAACACCTGTGTAACACTGTCATATTTTTATTATAAGTCTAGCAAAAACATGTGTATGTGTATGCACACACACGTAAACAATATTGTCTAATTTTTGTCCCCAAAAAGAGTGAATATAAGGCAACCGAGAGAACCAGTGATTGATGATATGGATATCAGTTTGATCATATCCTGGAACATAGAGTCAATATCTGGGTACCAAATTTAGTTGTTTCACTTTCTGTCCACTTGAAGTATTTCATTCTTGGGCATTTTTGGACACCGAAAATAAGAATATTGAAGATTTCCCACTGGAGAACAGTATAATTAAATAATCATTAAAAACAACAACAAAGAATTTCTCAGGACTTGAAAGCCAAACAATGTATGTATTATATTTATGTCTGCAGGTCTTAACTTCTCAATATTATTAGTAGTAGTATATTTAAGACAGGATCTCGCTCAGTCAGCCACGTGGAGTGCAGTGGTGCAATCTCTGCTCACTGCAACCTCTGCCTCCCAGATTCAAGTGATTACCCCACCTTAGCCTCCTGAGTAGCTGGGATTACAGGCATGCACTACCACAGCCTGGCTAAGTTTTGTATTTTTAGTAAAGGCAGGGTTTCACCATATTCGCCAGGCTGGTCTTGAACTCCTGACCTCAGGTGATCCACCACCCAACTTAGCCTCTGAAAGTGCTGGGGTTACATGTATGAGCCACCTCACTTCGCCTTCTCAATAACATTTTGATTAATTGATTTTACTTGAGAATACAAAGTCAGAGAATGGAGAACACTAGACTATGGCTGGAAGTAGACTTATTATTGCTAGAAATATGATGAACTCCTTTGCAGAAAAAAAATCTATATTTGGGTACAGATAAATGTCTCCAATAATTTAAAATATGCTGACTTTTATAAAAGCTTATCAATATTAATAATTTTAATAACAACTCACTGTTATTATGTGACTAATCAGTCTCAAGGCATGTACTAGGTTATTTTTAACAATGCTTGAAACATCTAACCACCACAGTGTATAAAAGCATTACCAAAAAGAAAATAATTGGCTCTTCTGTTGTTAAATAATGTTAAAACATTAAAATATGAAGTGTATTTTGGACAGAATTCTTCATTAATGTTTATTGTAATGCAAATGTTTTACACTGGAAAACACAGGAAAGAGTTAATCCAAGTTTTTTTAGCCAATGAAACTGTACAGCTAAAACAATTGCAGAAGTAAAAAGAAACTAAAAGAGCCTAGAAATATTGTTTATTGTGCAAAAATGTGTATATATTTTAAGACAATTCAGACTTTTAATCCTAAAAGCAAATCAAGTGATTTTCTGATGAATGAATACATAAAAAGTTGATTGCATATTTCATTTTTCAGTCATAACACTAAGTAAAATTGACAAATTATGTTCAGTTTAAGTAGCGGTTCATGAAAAATTCTTCACTCGTAATTCTGATAAATAATCATATTTAAACACTTTACATGTGAATACATTCTTGGGACTTGTACCTATATTCTTCCATCCACTGAATAATTTTAAATGTTAAAATTTTATGTGTAAAAGCTATTCTAAAAATACTTTTTAGCCATCTGAAACTAAATCAGTGATTTAAGGAAAAGTCCAACTATCATAAAAGGAACTGGTATGAAATAATTCATATTGTTCACCTGTAAAATGTCTGTCTGCATGATACCCAACTCCAGCCCTTGCTTTTGGAAATTAAACCTCCACTCCTGAACCAGCGTTAGAAAATAAAAGAGAAAAAATAATTATGGAGATATAAATACCTATCCTATATTCAAACCAATTTTTTATCATACATATACACACTTCACTCTTTTTTAATATTACAAATTCAGGTACACCAACTACTCCTCTAGAGTAAACTTGTAGCATTTATTGGCAATATCACCTTCTATATCCCTCTAACCTAACTTACTACATCAAGGTTTAACACTGGATTCTTTCCAGCTGCCAAATATCTGAAATACTGTACCTAAGGGCATTTCTAGAAGTCAGCTACGATCAGTAGCAGAGCTGCAACATCCAGGTTAACACTCTCTAGTATCAACCTGTGAGTAAGGCTTCATTAAAACAGATGCATGTACTCCCCAACTTCTAGACCTAGAGGACAATAAGATCTCAAATTGTGTTTAAAATTTTTTTGTCAACTTCTCTAAAGTTGCCATAAGAAACCCACAGTTGTTTAAAATTATTTATTTTAATTTCTTGTAGAAGACTTGTTTTTTTATCCACAGAGACAAAAACAATATATATTAGCTAGAATATATAGACAGTGACAAAAGAAAATTATATTTAAATCAATACATTTAAACAGGGTTTACAATAGATGTAATAAGATTGCATGTCACAAAGGGAGACATTTCTCTAAGTCTTTACTCATATGAAAAACAAACAAAAAAACAGATGGATAAGAGCAAAGAAAAACTTTGGTTTTAAAGAATTAAGGTCTCTTACTGGATTTGCAAGCTAAATATTTAAAGTTATTTTATAGTGTACATCACTCAGTGTTAATAGCTGGTGATTTATTTATATATGACTTTAAGACATACAGAGAGCAGAGTAATTAAGGAGTATACTCCGCTTAAGAACTGAACTTCTAATAGTCTACATTTGATACCAAAAGGTATTACTTCCTGTTTATTTCATTTTTTGTTTTGTACTCATAAAGAATATTTCATTTTCCTCAGGAAAATGGTGTGAAACATACTGGCCTTAATGCTATTACCACTGGAGAAGGAAAAAAATGGTGGCTTGACACATGAGATGCTCAGTAAATGTTGTTGAATGAATGAATTATTAAACAATTGAATAAACCTACTGTGTAGTTTCCTTTTACTTACAGGCATTGAAAAAGTATGAGAAATCCCAATGTTTTCTGGTACCTAGGCTATAAATGGTTTAATAAAAGAATATGTTGGTGGAAGAATCATAAAATTGGGTAACCTCTCTGTACAATAGCATAGGTTTTAGCTACTATGGCTGGTTTAGGCCATTTGTCTAAGAGAGTTCCGTTGTGTTACCCTTTGAAAGGCTTCCTTTACTTCCTTGTTCCTCAAGGTATAGATAACAGGATTCAAAGCAGGTGTGACCATTGTGTACATGAGTGCAGTTGCTTTGTCTGTTTCTGGAGTATGTGTACTCTTTGGTTGCAGATAAGTAAACAAGGCAGTGCCATAGAACAGAGAAACAACCAGGATATGAGAAGAACAAGTGGAGAAAGCTTTGTGTCTTCCAGCTGCTGAAGGGATTCTCAAGATGGCTGCAAGGATGCACATGTAGGAGCACAGAATGAGGAAACAGGGACTCATAATGAAGAGCATGGAGACAGCAAATATCACAGTTTCAATTTGGGAGGTATCAACAAAAGCCAGTTTCAGTACAGGCATGATATCACAAAAAAAGTGTTGAATCTTTCCTGTTCCACAGAAGGGCAGAGTGATGATCAGGGTGATCTGGGCTGACTCCACCACCACTCCAGTGAACCAAGATGCGGCAACCAATTTCAAACAAACATGAGGGCCCATGAAGAGAGTGTAATGCAGTGGATAACAAATAGCTACAAAGCGGTCATAAGCCATGGCTGCAGTAAGCAGCATTCTGTCAGTCCCAAGATGGCAAATATGTACATCTGGGTTGCACAGCCACCCACACTTATGGTTTTGGTCTCCACCAGCAGGTGCACTAGCGTCTGAGGTACCACACTGGTGATATAGCACATCTCCAGAAATGAGAGGTTCACCAGGAAGAAATACATTGGAGTGTGCAGGGCAGGGGTGATCAAGATCAGGGATATGATGATGAGGTTTCCTCCTATAGTGCATAAGTAGATGATTAAGAACACAATGAAGAGTACAAGCTGTAATTCTTCAAGAGAGGAAAAAGCCACAAAAGTGAATTTGGTGGACAGGGATTGATTTCCATTTATGGTGGGCTCAGAGCTAAACATCTGTGAAGACCACAAAGAAGGCAGATTAATGGGAATGCAGTCATGTAACACATCTCTCTACTGAACCACAGCAAAGGAGCCTCCCTAGAATCAGTGCTCTGAGATGAGAATCTAGACACCTGGATTTCTCCTGTTAAATCTTTCTAAATAACCACACAATTAAACTGAATACATACTCCTTCCTGATTTTCAGTTATGGATTATGTGCTATTTCACAAACATTTAGAGAAAATGATTTTTAAGTTACATATTCTGAATTTTTTGTTTTTGTATCATCACTAATCATATCTGAAGCTGTTATATAAGTACTATATGAAGACATTTTCATTTTAAAGGAGTCACATAAAAATGGATAGATTAAGATGTAAAGGTGTTATAGTCTGGCCTTCCAAATTCTATAACCTTCCTTAAAGCTACATTTAAGGGCTTGAAAGGGAGCATATTTCCAGCTATATATCTACAAACTTATATACATATTTTACTTGATCTAAGCAGAGTAAGAAAATAATTACAAAACTAAGATCCAAGAAAGCCAAAAGCACCAGAGTCTCCTTTCCACAACCTCAATGTAAATGTGCAAGATATTACAAAATAGGAGAACATACCCAGGGCCACAAAGTAAACTTTCTTTTCCTTTTTGGGCTCCTAGCATCCTATGGCTCTAAATTATAATATGGTGATGGAATGGGCAGTACTTTAATTCCTGCTAGAAACCATAGGGAATATATCCACTGCACAGCTTAATTATATTTGTCTCAAGAGGACTATTAAAAAATACAATGAGTGTTTAATGTGCAAGTTGGTTTTCAGTTTTTAAACACATTTCCAGAGATATCTATTGGTGTTAGTTATAACACCTGTTTCAATGCATAAAACTAAAAGTTTCTAATTGGAACCCATCATGCAATTGAAATTATTATTAAACTCTATGGATGTTTGCCATATTAAATCTTTTTTAAGCTCCTTAAATGGAGAGTGACTAATTAGGTCTTTGTAACATTGGTGGGCATGGTGCAGGGAACATAGTTGCCTCCACAAACCCCATAGATAGCATCCACTTTATTCATTACTTATGATTCAATTTAGCAGCATTAAAAAAATAGGCATGGGAAGAAAAGCCCAAATTTCCAATGGAATTAATTAAAATAATTTGTCAAAAACATTTTAAAATGTGTTTTTCTTCTACTGTCTTCAAGAAACGAAAGTATTGTTCATTCTGAATTATCCCCATTGCTTCAATCTGAACATATTTTCTTTTCACTGTCAGGTCAATACGGTAAATTCACTGAGACAGAGTAAGGCAAGTAAAAGTAGAGGTTACAAAGTAAGTTTTGCAACTAATGTGTTAGATAAGACTGCTGTTTTTGTCTCCCACAATTCCCATGCCAAACCAAAAGACCAGAGTTTTAGACATTGTCTCTCTTTTCTAACAAAACATGTATGCTTTTTTTGTAACTCACATGCTGCCTCAGAGATGAAAGCCATGTGTTTTGGGGAGTGCTCTTCTGTCTGTGGAGGTACTGCCACAATGAATGTACCACGTTGAGAATGTATAGATTGGTGCAAAATTAATTGTGGGTTTTTGCCATTGCTTTGAACCAACCTAATAATTAAGAAAACACATTGCATTTGATGGTATAGCATCCCTGAAATACTGCAGCAAAAGATCACATCATGCATGAACAATGATATTTTGCCAAATCTCCCCAGAAGGGTCTGGGAGTAGGAGTAAGTACATAGTTATATTTCTTTGATGTGTTTTTGCAACAAAATACAGAACAAAAGCAGCTGCTAATTTCTCCACATCAGTTCCCACCTGGACTCTGTGTTGTATTTATTTCTCAATATGATTCTAAAATTAGAGGAAAATATTTTTTTAAAATAAGGACACATGATTGAATTGGAGTATTTAAGTAAGAAAAGTAAAATGTCCTCTCCTGCTGCCTCAGATCTGCTTTTGTCCTAAGTGGGTAAAAGGAAATGTTTGGTGAAACAATGGCCAGATTAGTATATGCACTACCAGCAATGACAACAACACATTTAGCAATATGTTCAGCAATATGTTGTTGTTATACAAACATAATTTAGCAGTTAAGGAAATGGGCTTTGGAGGCAGAATGCTTAAATATTTACCCTTATTCTCAAATTTATAACTGTGATTTAGGGCAATAAAAAATCTTTATAAAAATTTATTTATTTATACTTTAAGTTCTGGAGTACATGTGCAGATCACGCAGGTTTGTTACATAGGTATACACGTGCCATGGTGGTGGTCTGCTGCATCAATGGCCCCATCATCTACATTAGGTAATTCTCCTAATGTTATCCCTCCCCATTCCCCCCGCCCCCTGCTATTCCTTCCTTAGCCCCCCACTCCCCAGGCCCCAGTATGTGATGTTCCCCTCACTGTGTCCACGTGTTCTCATTGTTCAGCACCCACTAATGAGTGAGAACATGTGGTGTTTGGTTTTCTGTTTTGTGTCAGTTTGCTGAGAATGATGGTTTCCAGTTTCATCCATGTCCCTGCAAAGGACATGAACTCACCTTTTTTATGGCTGCATAGTATTCCATGGTGTATATGTGCCACATTTTCGTTGTTCAGTCTATCATTGATGGGCATTTAGGTTGGTTCCAAGTCTTTGCTATTGTGAACAGTGCTGCAATAAACATACGTGTGCATGCGACTTTATAATAGAATGAATTATAATCCTTTGGGTATATACTCAGTAATAGGATTGCTGGGGCAAATAGTCTTTCTATTTCTTGATCCTTGAGGAATTGCCACACTGTCTTCCACAATGGTTAAATTAATTTACACTCTCACCAACAGTGTAAAAGCATTCCTATTTCTCCACACCCTCTGCAGCATCCTTATCTCCTGATTTTTTAATGACTGCCATTCTAAATGGCATGAGGTGGCATCTCAATGTGGTTTTGATTTGCATTTCTCTAATGACCAGTGACGATGAGGTATTTTCATAGGTTTGCTGGTTGCATAAATGTCTTCTTTTGAAAAGTATCTGTTCATATCCTTTGCCCAGTTTTTGATGGGGTTGTTTGATTTTTTTCTTGTAAATTTGTTTAAGTTCTCCATAGATTCTGGATATGAGCCCTTTGTCTGATGGGTAGATTTCAAAAAGTTTTTCCCATTCTGTTGGCTGCTGGTTCACTCTAATGCTTGTTTCTTTTGCTGTGCAGAAGCTCTTAAGTTTAATTAGTTTCCACTTGTCTATTTTGGCTTTTGTTGCCATTGCTTTTGGTGTTTTAGTCATGAAGTTCTTGTCCATGCCTGTGTCCTGGATGGTATTGCCTAGGTTTTCTTCTAGAGTTTTTATGGTGTGTTAGGCCTCATGTTTAAATCTTTAATCCATCTAGAGTTAATTTCCAGTTTCAGCTTTCTGCACATGGCTAGCCAGTTTTCTCAACACCATTTATTAAATAGGGAATCCTTTCATCATTTTCCCATTGCTTGTTTTTGTCAGGTTTGTCACGATCAGATGGTTGTAGTTGTGTGGCATTCCTTCTGAGGCCTCTATTCTGTTCCATTGGTGTCTATCTCTATTTTGGTACCAGTACCATGCTGTTTTGATTATAGTAGTCTTGTAATATAGATAATATAGTAACCCTGTAATGCTATCCCCATCAAGCTACCAATGACTTTCTTCACAGAATTGGAAAAAAACACCTTAAACTTCACATGGAACCAAAAAGGAGCCCGTGTAGCCAAGACAATCCTAAGGTTAAAAAAAAAAGAAAAGAAAAAGAAAAAACAAAGCTGAAGGCGTCACACTATCTGACTTAAAAAAAAAAAATCTTTTCTGTGTGTGTGTGTTAACATATTGACTTATGATGTGGTAATATAAATATTTTATGCTTAATTAAACTTTTTTAAAAATTAAAGGCATAGTGATATCTGGAACATGGATAGGAAGCTCCTAACTCCTCCTCTGAAACATCTGTTCACATATCAGTTCCCTTTAAGTGAAGAAGTCTGAGACCAGTTGAGACACTCCTATCCACTGGGAAAGTGAGAAAATATTTACATTGAAGAGGTAGGAAAAATCAAGGTACACATGGACACGGACCCAACTCTAAGCACTGCACCATAAAATTGGGAAGGAAATACCCAACATTCATCTTCCCCTGTGGAGAAGAGGGTCTGGATCCCAGTAGAGGGTCTTAATCCCTTGTTTCCCCTTGGTTTAACTTTAAACTCACAAACTATGAGAATGGAGGATATCAGATACAAATGTGTTTTTTTAGACAGTAAGAAATAAAGTGGCAGTTTTATATGGGTGCACAAGCACTTCCAGATACTGCCTGGGAGCACTGCAGGAAATAATCTTTGTAAAAACAGTCCTTTGTTTCTCCCTGGAAACACCTCCAAGGCTGCCTGGCTGTTGGACTTCTGACTAACTTGCATTTGGGAATTAAAGGTCTAGTCAGTGCTTAGCCCATTTTCCAACCTCAACCTTTAAACTTCACCTAAGAGCTTAGCTCTTATACTGATACCAGTACTGACAAAATATGGCATGCCCTAAGCTCCAAGGGGCCACCAAAAACAGAGACAGCAATCTGGACAAACACAGATTTTAGAGGCACCTCAAAATCTCTGGCCAGTTGAATTGGTCAAAACCTTCTCATAAACAAGACCAGTCTATCAAGATGGAGAGAGGTAATCTTATCTAATTTGCAGAAACTGGTAGAGAGAACCAAGGAAAATAAGAAAAAGAGGGGATTATATTCCAAACAAAGGTACAAGTAGCCACCTGGAAACAAAAACAAATGCAAAGAATTAGAAAAGCAAGAGCAAACCAAACTAACAATAAGTCAGATAAAAGAAATAATGAAGATCAGATAATACATAAATAAAATGAAAACAGAAAATAATACTAAATATCAACAACACAAAAAGTTGGTGTTTTGAAAAGTTAAACAAATTTAACAAAACTTTAGCCAGACTAAGACCCAAATAAATAAAAACAGAGACCAAAAAGGAGCTATTACAACTGATACCACAGAAATTCAAGGGCTCATTAGTGGCTACTCTGAGGAACTATATGCCAATATGTTGGAAAATTAGAAATGGATAAAGCCCTCTATACATACAACCTACCAAGATTGACCATGAAGAAATCCAAAACCTAAACAGATCAATAAGAAGTAACAGGATTGAAGCTGTAATAAAAAGTCCCCCAGCAAAGAAAAGCCTGGTGCCTGATGACTTCACTGCTGAATTCTACCAAATACTTAAAGAAGCACTAATACCAATCCTACTCAAACTATTCTGAAAAATAGAGGAGGAGGGAATACTTCCAAACTCATTTTATGATACTAGTATGACCCAGACAAAGGCAGATGGCAGAATGAATTAAAACCATTCAAATGCCAAAAACAGACAAAAAGACACAATAAAAAATAAACCTACAGGCCAATATCTCCAATAAAAATTGATGCAAAAATCCTCAACAAAATACTAGCAAACCAAATTCAACTATACATTAAACATATTATTCATTATGACCAAGTGGGATTTATCCCGGGGATGCATGGATGATTCAACATATGTGAATCGATCAGTGTTGTACATCATGTCAACAGAAAGAAGAACAAAAAGCATATGATCATTTCAATTGATGCTAAATAAGCATTTGATAAAATTCAATGTCTCTGCATGATAGGAACCCTGCAAAAAAGTCTAATTTTCATTGTTTACAGATGATATGATCTTACATTTGACGAAACTTAAAGACTCCACCACAAAAGTATTAGAAACAGTAAAGAAGTTTGGTGAAGTTATAAGATACAAAAATAAACATACAAAAATCAGTTAGCATTTTAATATACCGACAACAGATAGTCGGAAAAAGAAATTAAAAAAAGTAATCCCACTTATAGTAGCTACAAATAAAATGTAATACCTGGGAATTAACATGGTATCATCATGGCATTGTTTACAATGTTTTCATAGTAAAACGAACCAATAGCCAAACGACTTAAGGTATAAGACAACAATAAAATACATGCCAATTATCAGCTTAATTTGATGTATTTAATTATTTTAAAATATTATTATGGAAATAAGTTAAAATACTAACATTGAAAAATGAGTTACAAACAGAATTTAAAAATCATGTAAGTTTCATGAGCATGAAATAAACTTGTCTCACCAATACTGAACCAAAAACTATCCCACAAAAAATACAGAAATCTTATAGGGAAAATTAAAATCTGTGTTCTTCAAATAGCCTGGGCATGTTAAAATTTGCAGTTCCAAGAGACTTGACCAGTAGGTCCAGTAGATCCACCACAAAATATCTATTATTGAGAAATATATATTCAATTGTAATTATGACTTACAATAAATATAGATAATTGTATGAACATTCTGTATTTCCCCCTGTGAAATAAAAACAGTTGTTTAATTAACCAAAGTCCCTTTTAGTGATCCATGGATCATTTCCCCAAGGCCAGCCACACTTTTAAATGCTATACTAAAATTTGGCCACCATGTAGTGCCAGTGCAAGGCAGGTTAGCCTGTCTAAGGTATTAACTTCATTATGAAGATTTGAGCTATCGATAGACTTCAAGATCAGCTAACATTTCTCTGAAGACATTGTGTATCTTTAAAAAAATTACTAAGCTTCTAATTACAGAAGAAATATGAGGTTTTATTTGGTAAGATACATCCAGATATTTCTTTATGATTTGTTATATTTCTCAATTTTGTTAAACACCTAAATTTATCTGTACGTCTGTGTATTACAAAAGCATTCTAAGAAAAATAAATAATGAAATATTAATTATTGGAAAAGGAATAACTTTATGCTTCATTAAAAAAAAGAAAACAAAAAATAATGAGGCCTTTATTCTGCCTGGAAAGCAATAGAATGCTAAAGAAGAGAACATTAATAAAACAGTAGCTGTGTAATAAAGAAATGCTGTGGATTATAACTACAAAAAGAACTTTTAATTCAGATTCTATGGTAATTTATTCATTTACATGTAGATTTGTTGGAAGTGCTGCTCCATTTAGACAAATTTAATAACAATCTCAGATTCACTTTGTATTCCAAATACTGATGATATAATTGCATTCATCTATAATAATTTTATGAGAAAACATATGCTTGTAAAATAGCTGGCTAAAATAAGAGGTAAAGTCTATTTTCTAAAAAAAAAGTCAGAGATGGCCTGTTTAATGATACATGAAAAAAAAATTATTTGGCCTTATTGAGATATCACCAACTAAATTAGTGAACTTAATTAAATGACATCAAATTACCAAAATGCCATGCTACAAATAAAGCAGTACATTCTCTAGAGCGATGTAGTAATCATGGCAACTCAACAACAGTTTTCACTTTTTTTTTTAATGAATATAAATTTGTGGTAGTGGTTGTGACATCACTGCTGATCAATCTCTGTTTAGAGGATACATGCAAAGTAATCTGTAGGCTTTTTGGCTGTAGAAAGACTGAGAAGAGTGTTTAGAGATACATCTTGTGACACTATGAAACTCTCATTGTCTAAACTTTTATTAAACTTTAAGTATCTTCAGTAAAGACAGAAAATGAGCAATGATAATTATTTAAAATTCAATAAACTGACCATCTTTGGATAGTCTTATGCATATTTCACATGGATTGTACACTATTGAACTTATTACTCAATGAAAAGGCATTCATCCTAGTACTGCTTTCCGCCACTGTCAATATCAGAATTCTGAGAGGCAGTTGGTTGAGGCATTTTAGGATACACTAAATATTGTAACTACTATAACATTTTGATGCCTTCATCAGCTCCCATATTTTTATAAAACAAAAGATGGCATAATTTTAGGCCTATAACAAGTTTAGAATTGTTCCAAAATATGTGTAAGCATGATAATGCATATAAGTTTTGATGAATATACCAGAATATGATGGTGTTGTTGCTATTCCTGTGATGACAAGAACGACAGTGAAGCCGGTTTTGCAATAGAGCTGAGAGAGTAATGGTTGCAATCAGTCACATGTAACCTATTATTCTGGGAATTATAAGGGTATGGGAAGCCTAAGATCACCAGAGTAGTTCGTTTTCTTTTGCTACCAAAGACATTTATTTGAGAACTTCCAATAAGCAAAAGACACAGGCAAGATGTTACATGTCTTAAGAGTAGAATTAAAATATAGTATTATTTAAATGAGCCACTAGTTTCAAAGGATTCCATACACTGTGGATTTTTACCTCCTCACTTCAGGAGGGAATATCTACTTTAAATTATTTTGACTATAAAATGAAATATGCATTTTTTTCAGAATTAAATTAGAAAAATGTATTATAAAATAACTGATACAATATTTACCCAATTCCAGTATTTGAAAAAAATACATCATTCAGCTCAGATCCAATGTAGCATTATGGGTAATTATTTTTCTAACACATGCTCCTGCAATTGCTAAATTTTGGTACTAAGAATGACCTATAGAGAGAAAATTTGTATAATTTTACTGTTGGCCAAAATATTTTGCTCTAAGTAAGATATAGCATTTGAGTTCATAATAGTTGAATCAGTGCTTTTGTGACTGGATCAGCTGACATACAAAAGCAAGTATATGTACCCTACTCCTCTTCTGTTTTAAAGAAGATGGTCAGTCATGAGGGGAACTATTTTGGTGGAGAAAGTTGGGAAGAATTTTGGGAAGATACTTTTCTATTGCAAGTCATATTTGTTTGGAAGATTTTTTAAAAAAAATATTGCCTAAGCAATAGAACTATAGCTATGTATATAATAAGAAATGGGGGCCCAGTGAAGTTGAATTATGGTTCAAAAGACAATGTAAAAATTGTCATAAACTATTAGGCTCACGGAGACTATAGAGAAACACCAAAATCATAAGCATATATTATGTTTATTTATTAAGTTTCTTGTGTGTGGGGGGGTGTTGGTATATGTGTGTGTGTGTGTGTGTGTGTGTGTGTGTGTATAGTGGATAAGTGGTATAAAATGCACTATATTCACAAGAGATGTGATTAAAATAATCCAATATTAGAATGTCAAACTAGCCCATTATTTGTCTTTATTGCATCCTGAAATTATTTAAAAATTAGTAGACTATTCTATTTTAATGATCTATCAACACTCTTTCTACTGCATCCTACAAACTAGCATGCCTACGATGAAGAATATGAGCGCAAACTATGACTACTCATGAGAGAAAAATTACATCTAGGTGATAAACAATGAGTAAGATTTATACAAAAAGTTTATTTACCTTAATTTTATCTTATTGTAAACATCATTTCTGCTCCAGAGAAACAGAATGGTAAGACAGCTGAGAATAGAGATATTTTATGGATGTTATGATTATTGTTATTGAGATTATCTCTATATTGATTTAATACCCTTTGATGCACATACTTTGTTTTTAGAGAGAAAGTGGTCTAAGATATGATCTGTGAAAATCACACCAGAGTCACTGAATTTATTCTTCTTGGTTTTACAAACAACCCCGAGATGCAAATTTCCCTCTTTATTTTGTTCCTGGCCATTTACACAGTCACTTTGTTGGGCAACTTTCTCATTGTCACAGTTACCAGTATGGATCCCGCACTTCAAACACCCATGTACTTCTTTCTCCGAAATCTGTCACTTCTTGAAGTATGTTTCACCTTGGTTATGGTGCCAAAGATGCTTGTAGATCTAGTGTCCCCAAGGAAAATCATCTCTTTTGTGGGCTGTGGTACCCAGATGTACTTCTTCTTCTTATTTGGCAGTTCTGAATGTTTCCTACTCTCCATGATGGCTTATGATCGCTTTGTGGCCATCTGCAACCCTCTCCGTTATTCAGTCATAATGAACAGGTCCCTGTGCTTGTGGATGGCCATAGGCTCTTGGATGTCTGGTGTTCCTGTGTCCATGCTACAGACAGCTTGGATGATGGCCCTTCCTTTCTGTGGACCAAATGCCGTGGACCACTTTTTTTGTGATGGTCCCCCAGTGTTGAAACTAGTCACTGTAGATACAACCACGTATGAAATGCAAGCACTTGCCTCGACACTCCTGTTTATCATGTTTCCCTTTTCTCTCATTTTGGTTTCCTACACCCACATTATCATAACAATTCTGAGGATGCCCTCTGCTACTGGCCGCCAGAAGGCATTTTCTACTTGTTCCTCACACCTCATTGTGGTGTCCCTCTTCTATGGAACAGCCAGCCTGACCTACCTGAGGCCCAAATCAAATCAGTCCCCAGAGAGCAAGAAGCTAGTGTCATTGTCCTACACTGTCATCACTCCTATGCTAAACCCCATCATCTACAGCCTGAGAAACCATGAAGTGAAAGGGGCGGTTAAGAGGACAGTCACTCAAAAAGTCTTACGGAAGTTAGATGTGTTTTGACTTCTTTTGTATAAGAAAGCTTCCCGGTGAGCCGAGATCACGCCATTGCACTCCAGCCTGGGTAACAAGAGCGAAACTCCATCTCAAGAAAAAAAGAAGGAAAGAAAGCTTCCAAAGTAGGAACAGCAAAACCTACTAACAAAAATTTAAAATAGAGTGAAAGTGGTGCTTTTATTTCATCACTAACTGATGGGTGCATTTCTATGTATCATTTAGGGTCCTACAGGAAAGAGATGGTATTCCTGGATTGGGATAAGTGAGAAAACACTTTATGAGAGGACTATTTAAAAATTGTGGACAAGGTTAAGTAATAGCGACACAGGTCATATAATAGAAATTTTATACTTCTTGGCCCGAAGGGACAAATAGAAGGAGTGTTAACTGGAACCTAGATAATGCTACAACTATTTAAAAAAACAGTCACCTAATAGGAGCTCTGTTCTTTAGTACAGCAAAACAGCAGTCCCAACTTGTTTTGTTCTGACTCTCTCAAATCTGTTGCTGGCTTCTGTTCTGAGCCAAACCAAATACAACACGGGGAAAAGAATGTCTGTTGATACAATGTATAAATGCTAGCCTCCTGGGGCACAGAGCAGGATGAAAAAGGGTAAGAAAAGTTATGAAAGATAAGTGAAAACAGCCACCACAAACCACTGTATATTCTGCAGCTACTGCAATGTAACAATGAGTCATCTAATGCATTTTAAGTAACCTTTAAAAATGTATACGAGATGGAGTTTTGCAGATGCCAAGAATCCATAATGCAAATTCTTTATATGGGTTGTATGTTTAAATAGAGTTAATTAATAAAATTAACTTAGTATTAATATTTGGTGACATGGTATTGGACTTTTCTGGTCATTGGCTAAACTATCCAATAATTAATAATAAGCTATTCTTAGAATTGAAACAACAAATATTTACTTGACACCAGAATAAAGTAAAAGAGTAATAGTAATAGCAAGCATGGTTTATTGAGGCACTGTCTTTGACACATGCCCTTTCAAAAACTCAAGAGATAATTATTATATCTATATTTTTCCTAAAAGACAAATTATAATCAGAAAATGTAAGTAACTTGGTAAGGTAAAAGCTATTGAGATGTGGCCACAATAATTTGAATCAGAGCCTTCTGAATTTGAAATTCAGTGTTAACCTCTTAAAAATATCTAGTCACATTTTTATTGAGGTAAAGTTGCTACCTACATGGGAATTTGGCTTTCAAAACAATGGAGAGAACAAAATAAAATCATGTCAAATTTAATTATGCAAAATGAATATTTCCAGTAGAACAAGCATATACTGGCTTTGAATATGCAACTTGACCAATAATATATATTCTTATAAGTCTTCATTAGCCAAGGTTTCTGTTAATTGTACAGATTCTTCTTCAAGCAATAACCAACCTCCGTGTTTCTTCGTCAACTTTCAGAAGAATTTAAAAAAGCCAACACAAATTTGAAATTTGTGTTGATTTTTTTAGTTTAATTTTGATTTGCTTAAGTACATTTCTATTGCGTGTAATTGGAGTTTGAAGTAGAAAAAAATCTATTCCTTTAAATCTTTCTTCTTCAATAACCTCTTAATTTTTTAAAGCCTAACTCAGATATTCTTGAATTAATGTAACTAAGTTCAATAACCAACTCCTAAGACTCCATTACAATGGTTTTGTACCAGCTGTTTGTGGCTCACAAGTAGATTGTGAGGTTATAAAATAAATTTATTGTGCATGTTAATATGCCAAAAAAACTAGCACAGTAAAAAAAAAGTATATTGTTGACAATTAAAACTTGTATATATTTAGGGTGTACAACATGATGTTTATATATATAACAATTATGAAAACAGAAAATTTATAAACTTTTAAATGTATATGCACATGTATATGTATGTATACACACACACACACACATTGTGGGATGAATAAATCAAGCTTTTCTAATATATATATCATTTCACATATTTACCAGATTTTTGTGCTGAGAAAACCCACAGGATATTTTTGATTATTTCATTCATTATCTTATTGATCTTGGTTGAAATAGAAACTATTTGAAAATCACTGTAATAATCTATAAAGAAGGTTCTAGAACTGTAAGGAGCTAAAATTTGGCAACAATAATAAGGAACGCTTAGTGGTTGACATAGGAACACACATAGTGGAGGTCTAATAGAACTTAGTTACTTTGCAAGTTAATTGGTATTGCCTTTTTTTCTTACACACTTTCTCATAGATTCAGCTTTTATATCTTTCATATATTTACAGGCTATGTTTATAGCCTATGTTATTTATGGTATTTTGTTTCCCTTTAGCATTTTCTACAAGATATGCATAGTCACTGTAGTGGACTGGATTGTGTTCCCCAAAAGGATATGTTGATGTTCTCATCCTTGATACCTGTGAATGTGACCTTACTTCGAAACAGGGCCTTTGCAATGTAGTCAATTTAAGATGAGGTTAAACTAGACTAATGTCATATAAGAAGAGAGAGATTTGATGACACAGAGACGTACACACAGGGAAGGCAGTCACTGGAAGATGGATGTAGAAATTGGAGTGACAACTGTGCAAACCAAGTATTGTTGACCACCAGTGGAAGGAGAGGGGCTTGGAAACAGATTTTCCCTTAGAGACTCCAGGAGAAACAGACATGCTGACATCTTAATTCCAGACTTCTGGCTTCCTGAACTGTAAGAGGATAAATCACTGTTGTTTTAAACCTTCTAGTTAGGTGATTAGTAATTTGGTGATTTTTCATGAGCTATGTGGTAGATGGATTTAAAAAAATAGCCATGCCCTTTATGATGTGGCTCAGGAGTGCCTCTCATCAGGATGGTGTTCATTTCCTTATCTCTTGAATCTAGTCTGGATGTGTGACTTGCTTTTGCAAAAAGAATGTGATAGAAGGAATTCTGCACCATTCAGAGTGTTAAAAGTCAAGAAACCATGTATGCATCTACTCTTTCTCTGTCTCTGGCATACACGTGATTCCCATGAGAACAAGCCTCTGGCATACACGTGATTCCCATGAGAACAAGCCTCTGGCATACACATAATTCCCATGAGAACAAGCCAAAGCCAGCATACTGGAAAAAGAGAGAGATTTTGAAGCAGAGTTGAATTATTCCAAAAGAGTCCATTCTATACCAGCTTACAGCTAGCTGATTCCCAAAAATGTGGAGGAACCTGGTTCAGAACCCAGCAGAACTGCCTCGCCAACCTATAACTCAAGAGCAATTACATATAATTACCATTTGATTATTTGTAACGTAATATTTGAATTTGAAACATAATACTTCTATGTTTAGTGGAGGTCTGTTACATAGAAATAGCTAAGTATTAAAAGATGCACTCCAAATAATAAGTTATTAATAAGTTAAGAATCACATCTGTCAGACTCATTCTTGACTCAATAACTGAAATTGTTCCCACTGTGAAGCCTGGTGCAGAGAAGCCATGACAGATCTGGTACTTGCTTTTCCTTTTTTTCCTGCATGAAATGAATAATATCTTGCTCTATTTATTGGTTAAAATTTACTATCTATTAAGTTCAAATAATTTCCATTTAAATTTAAAGTGAAATATTTTAAATTAACCTTTCCATTAGAAGTACATAAGCTCTCCGGTGCCACAATTCTCTATGGAAGATATTTCAGTAGCTATTCTGAGCATTAAAGATCCTATCAGAGCTTTCACTGGTCTCAGTTAAAGAAATTATTTCAAGGGCCATCAAGTTCAGAGAAGAGGTTCCCTCTGAAGAGTTCAAGGAATAAAAGTGCTAACATTTGCAGTATCTGTAAGTTTTCAGTACTGTGCATTTTTCACCAGCCTCTCAAAGCACAAAACAGTTTTTTTTCTTTAAAAATTTTTTAAATTGACAAATAAACATTGTATTTATTGTTTTGAGATATGTATACAATGTGTAATGACTAAGCTAATTAACATACATTATCTCACATACCTTTTTGTGAGAACACAAAATCTACTCTCTTAGCAATTTTTAAATGTACATTTTTATTAATGTAGTCATCAGGTTGTGCAATAGATTTCTTGAACTTATGTCCTCTTTCTAACTGAAATTTTGGGTGCTTGCCATAGTGAAATCTTCTTGCCTTCATCTATCTCTGAAAATTAACTCTGTCCTCTACTTTCCAATATTTTTCTAGCTTTTATTTGGACTCCATTATATGGCTGATCAACTGAGGTTTCCACTTACTTTCTGAATCCAAATACTACATTGATCTCCAAATCAATGATTGCTTCAGTGAGGCAATACTTCTAACTCCATTAGCATTTAGATATCACTACTCGCAGTATAGCCCTGTAAATTTCCTTTTAGAGAATAAAACACTTTGTTACTCAGTGAGGTTTGTAGTAAAAAAGTGAGCAAAATATCTATAAATAATTTACTCTATACTACATTTTAAAATTATAGAAAAAGAAAAAATGATAATGCCCCAACACTGGCTATTTGTGGAAAATATGCAATGGAGACAGAATATTTGAATATCTGTCCTTATTGCTCATAATGCTTCATTGAGGAAATGCAATTGCTACAAATGGGTTTTATATCAATTCTTCTGACTTATACTTACTTACCAGCACAGCTGGAAAGCTGATAAATCCTCCACTAGTGAATTCATCAAGCATGTGAAAGCAAGCTCAGAGGAGAATAATACTAAAAATTAATATATGTGCATTACTGACTATATGACAATCTTCATTCTAAAGCTTATTTACCATGGTAAATTTTGAGGATAGTGCTAATAGAATCTACACTTTACAGATGATGAAGACAGGAATGTTAAAGATTTGATTGTCAGTTTCTGCTTCATTTCCTACTGTAGATACATTCATCAATCACTTTTTAAACCCATATTATCAGGACTTAATCTTCTGTCAAGAATCATGCATTTTTTCTTAAAGTTTGATTCATTTGATGAAAAGAAACCTGACGCTAGATGGTGAAAAATAATTCATATTTTTTTGTCCTTGCCCTGCTACGGTTAATGTGGTGTGAAAGGTAATCTGAAAAAAAATACCTTGCATTGAGAATGCAAACATTGTGTTCAGAGGACTGGAGGTTCACCAGGTGTAGATGCCAAAATGTTTAAAGTTAACTATTGGCAAAAAAAACTTGACAGGTATATTAATGCCATCATATAGAAGGAGCTGGAGGCAGTTAATGCATTTGAAATAGTATGTAGGTCAAGAGGTCATTTTCAAGCAGAGTAATGACAGCATTAAAATTGGGAGAACAAAGAATGATGGGAGGTACAAAGTACAGGCTTGATTCAGAGAGATCAACTAAGATATTAAAGTAATATAGCTACTATGAGGTGTTAAGCCCATATTCCAGTGCTAAGGGAAAGACGGGACATGTAGGGAAGAATGAAAGAAAAATATTTGCTAATTCATTGGCTTTGTGAGACAAGAAAGAAAGAACATCAAATATATTTCAGAAACAAGGGAAGTAGTGGAGTCGATCATAAATTACAGGCTTCTATACATCGAACTAGAGTGTGGAGGATGGGAGGCAGTTGAAATGACAGCATGTGTGATGATGCTCCTAATGACATTTCAAATAGTATTTAAGGAAACATCATTGAATTTACAAATACATTGATTTTTCTTACACATGTCACCCTTACTGAAATTTTTTTGTGAAGAAGTAGTAAAGATAAACCAGAACATAGAAGTGTTTTTTCTTTTTTTTTAAATTTCAGTCTCCCTCTTTTGTTTACACATATCCTTGCTGCCCCAGGCTAAAGTATCTAATGAGAATTGGCATGGTACTTTTGTTGACTCAAGGTTTCAACTGCAGTT